GCGAGACCTCAATTCTCGGTCCGTAAAGTCGGAGTTCTTGAATCTACTGCAAAACGGTACGAAACAATACAACATAATGCAAGAGAACATACAATACCGTAAAACAACAGCAAATACCGTAGTAGTGTGCAAGACCTGTCTTTATCCCAAGCCTTTCACAGGCAGCCGATGTCGAGAGTACGTGTTGGTCAGCCAGCGACACTATGCTGCAATTTTTTCTCTTTTCAAGGGATGAAGGGCTCTTTGCATCATCGGCCTCCGTCCAAACTACTTGACTGCTCATGAGCAAACGCCATCGCAGGAATAACATGTGTGATATACTTTACCAGAGTATACTATAAGCATTGTCTCCTGTAAGATGCCATAACATACCGTCATTTATGCTATAATATATGGCAAAAGATTATGATAGGTAAGCATAGCGAGCCCGGAAATTAAAGTTCTCCTCCTGCTCCTGCCCCCGCCTTCTCCACAACTTTTTGTCACTGCAGCTGCTCGTCCCAACCTCCCCCGTACAAAGGCGAGCATGTCAGAAGTATTATTAATTCGACCTGCTGCCAGATTTGGATGCGATTGTCGTGTATGGCTGCAACACTTGAACATCGTACATCGTTTTTTGCCAGCACCTCTTGACTGTCTTGACTACTAGACTGCTGCAGCCGTCCGCTGTAGTTTAGGGTGTAGGGTTGTTGCCTGATTGAATCTGAAACCCAGTTTTTGCTTCTGACATCAGCAGCATGTGCCGCGTGCATGGTGTTTTTGCTTCTTGCTGCACCCTAAACCCTCAACCCCAAAACCCCTTAGCCCTGTAATGCCCTATAGTAACCCTATAGATCCCTATAATGCCCTATAGTAACCCTATAGATCCCTTTACAAGAACCCCTATAGTAACCCTATAGATCCCTTTAAAGGAACCCCTATAGTAACCCTATAGATCCCTTTAAAGGAACCCCTATAGTAACCCTATAGATCCCTTTAAAGGAGCCCCTAAACCCATGGGATCTTCCGAGCTGTCTGAAGCCCGAGGCAGAAACCAGATGTTGCCCAGAAGTCGACTTCAATGATTGGGTCGAAGACGTTACGTTCAGCAACTTTTCGCCACTTCGCGTATTTATGAACCGGAGTTGCCCTGCATCTTTGCCAGGCTCAGATACTGTGAGTGTCGGAAGTGGTGCATCCTCTCTGCGTCTGTGTGCGTTTTTCTGCGAGGCTTGCTTCTGACGACTTGGCGTTTTCCGTGTCCATTCAGATCCCGGCTGTGCTGGATTTCGCCTCAGCTCTCGTGAATGTTTCTTTGACATGGCAGTGTGGTGTGCAAGCACGTGCAATCATGTAGGACATCCTGCGCAGAGCGGCAGTTCAGCGGTCCTCCGTGATGCGCAGTGCTAATCGCAGTCAGTCTTGTCTTAGGAAACCCTAAACCCTAAACCCTAAACCCTAAACTCAACAACCAACCTGCAGGACGAAGCATCGATGGATTGGGCCCTCGACATTGATGGTTCCGGGATCTGGATCAATGTGGAGCTTGCAGTTGGAGATAGGCTTCGATACGTCGAGAAGAAGTTTTCTGGCACTTACATGGTGGATAGCATGACGGCCGCTTGGCAGAGGTCGAATGTAGAGGAGACTACAGTCGGTTTTCGGTGGCCGAGTGGCCCACGCAATCGAGGCTGCACAACTCAGGGCAGTAGGTCAGGGTCTTTTGAAGGTTTTCGTTTACCCGACGGACAAGCTATCTAGCTTGCAGCCGTGATGCCTCTCAACAGCAAGTGCTCAGGGAATTTAAGCCGCGAAAATGCAGACTCTGCCATGGTATTCCACATACGAAAACTAGGCAGGGGAGCCTACCGAGGGCGAGGACGCGATGCCCAACTTGGGCCATTTTGACTGCCTCGTACCACCCTCGGATCTTGATCGCATGACGCCTTGCATTGGGCCATAAATCGCACTTGCACCTCAGCGAAGGTGGCGCTTACGCACTCGCGTGCCATGAAAGAAGCAAAGAAGGTCAAAGACGCCCACATTCAAGCTTATCACACAGGCAGTAAGACACACCGACACCGAGGGTGCAGGAGGAGATTGGCTAGTTTACATAATCAGCTGGTTCAGTGTTGAGACGCTAGGCCAGTAGGCGATGACATTTTGCAAGTTTAGGGGTTTAGGGTATAGGGGTTTAGGGTTTAGGGTTTGTCACTGCTGCATTGCAGGCAGCGTTCACAGCCTGTTTGGTACCGGTTGTTGATCAACTAAGACATTGCTTTTGGTGCAAGGGCATGACACGCTACACGTCGCATAACAAGCGAACAGCCTGGTGCAGCGCCTCCTGCGTTGTTGTTCGGTGACGATAGAAAATCCGCATGCCTCACAAGAGGAAAAATCTTCTACCCTGGCGAGCTATGCGGCAAGCACTGGTAAGCACTCCGAAACAACGCACGCGTGCGCATGTCGAACTGATTTGCGGCGCGGAGGTTCGCCTCTTCTGATTGTGTACAACCGGGCTTTTTTCTTACCTTTGGTTAGTAGGGAATGGAGGAATGGGGTACAATTCCAACTGGTTCTAACTACTATTACTACCATTCTTCCAGCCCCTACTAACCAAAGGTAAGGTTTGGCATGGGATTTTGACGGGTGGGAGCCTGCTACGGGCAACTGCACAAGTGTCCATCGGGCGAAGTCAATCCTAGAGACGGGACTGTGTATGTTTTCTTGTTTTGTTATCAGACCTCATGATCCGAGATGGAGAAAGATGCAACGGACCTGGACTTTGGAAGCGCGCAGAGTCTGACGATTGTTCGCAGTGTCGATTCCGACGGTGCGACGCACCGTGTGAAGTGGTACGGAGCCTCGGCAGTGCCAGTATGTGTTGGATCTTCAAGCTTTGAATTGAGCAGCCAATTATCGTTTCAGGATTCTAGCAGAAAGCTTCCACAATTCTTAAGTGGAAGAATTTGGTGGTGGTCCTTCGCAAGAATATATCATTCGCACAATCACACGCGCAAGGCGAGTCAGACCGTCACGGTGGAGGCCATGGTGGTGGGCTGACACTTCTTGCAGAAGCGACCTATCCACCTGGTTCCGGTTCTGCTGGCCCTTCTCCGGGCCCCGCCCCCTTTCCTTTTGCTTCGTCATTGCCCCAGGGTGGAAAGCCTACAACAAAGCTGGGCTCTGCTGATGGGACTGTACATAGTCAATACAGTCCACGCTTCGGACCGGGGGCACCGAAGACTCAGCAGTTTTCGTCTTCTAGCGCGACCTTCTCGCGCACAGCCCCTCGGGCTTAACTTGGGTTTTCTTCGCGTGCAAGCTGCCAGCGTTGTAGGGTGTGTGGACACTGACAGGTTTCGTTGGCAAAGGCAGCAACAAGGTCGATGCTCGCACGAGAGAAGCACGATTCGAGTAATGAAGTCACGACTCAGCCATTGCTGCAATGATTCAACGTCGTATATGGTGCACCTACTTACCATCTTGATAGCGAGAGGGAGTGTGAACTGAAGTGAGAACGGTAGCGACGAGGATTCGGATGGTGACGCTCCGGGATGTCGCGCAAAGTTGCCATGGTCATGATACAACTGTGAGAATTTTGGTGAAGGAGACGATGATGAGGCCGAGGCAGATCTTCATGACATGGATGATGGTGATCGTGTTGATGCTGTTGATGTTGATGATGCTGACCACGATTGTCCAAGGCGATGGTGGCGATGGTGGCAATGATTTCAGTGATGCTGATTGTGATTGTCAGGGTGGCGATTTGGGGGAGTGTAGCGATGACCGTAATACTGATGGTGATGACTGCTATAACTATTTCAAACCTGCAAGCGCAGTGAAGCCAAAACAGGTCGCAGTATCGTTGCCCCATCGGCAACAGAGTCAGCATCAGTGTCACCGTCAGCATCAGCAACACACCTGCAGTAGCACACCCACACGCACCAGCACCAGCATCGGCGCCCCCGCACCGGGGCCAGCGCACCTGCACCTGCACCCGTGCTCGCACCGAGTCCAGCAGCGCCAGCACCGGCACCGGCACCGGCACCAGCACCAGCACCAGCACCAGCACCCACACCGGCACCTCGCGCAGCATCAGTAAGACACATTCTGAGGCAAAAGTAGGACAAGCGCCCCAGTCTCGACAACCTTTGAGGACGCTGTACTACATCCTTCCTAGGTCCTAGGTCCTAAGTAGTATCGCAGAGGTGCTGTATCTTCATGATCATTATCATGATAATGATGACAAGCATCAAGCATCATCATGTCTACTACAACGAACCTCGGCGAGGCAGGGACATCAGGCTCCGTGGGACCGGCTTGTCTGTGGAATCGCGCTTTGCGAAGGAGCGAGCTGGAGGAGCCGCGTTCTGGGCAGCCATGCCTGGGTCATCATACTATCCCCGACGTCATTTGTACTGTGGCATGTTTGAACGGAATCTACCGCGCAGGGGAGCTAGAAACTCTGAGCTATCGAGTCTTCACCGAATGAGTTTCACGGCCGCTATGTTGCATTCGGTAGATCTCCGTCCGAAAGCCTCCCTTTGCACAGGACAAACTCGCCAAAGACTGGTGTGAGGAGTTCTCAGGCAGTGACGATGCGCAGCCCTGTGATGCCGCCGCAGCGAGTACGACGGCGACGAAGACAAGCACTTTGAGCTCCACCCGGACCACGAGCATGACGACGAAGCTGATCTCATGCTTAGTCTCATAAGGACCCTTAGGGGGGTATCAGGGGAAGTGTGTAGGGGAATGACCAAACATGGGATCTGACAAGAATCTAACAAAGCCTACTTGAGGAAGTATAGTGCCCTCCCCCCCTTCCCCCCAACCCTCCTGGTCCCTATGACCTGCGGCAGTGCAGACTCACGAAGAGCTGTTGATACGTAGATCCCTCACTAGACGATGCCACGGCCCATCTCACGGCGGGCTCTGTCAGAGTCTAGAGCTCCCATGCAGTGGTTTAGGCTCGAGACTAGAGCCGACGCCATGTGCTTACTGAACCGCGCGCGTTAAGAATGGACGCCGGCCCGGAAGCTTGGGAGGAGATCGGAAGTTGCAACTTCTTGCAGCTGTCCCTGAAGTCGGAGCTGCAGGGCTTAGATGGGGGCTTAGATGGGGGCCCTCGCTTCTGGATCGCGGTTGCCTCGCAAGCCCTGACTCTCTGCTGCTTCGCTCTCTTCCTGCTGCTTGCGCCGATTCCACAGAGCCCGGGACGACAGAAGCTGGGTTCTTGTTAAGGAACTTAACTTAAGTTGTCATACTATCGGGATCTACAGTCAGTAAATAGTATGGTTTCTTTATTATGGCAACTTAAATTAAGTTCCTCAACAAGAACCCAGGAAGGAGGGGCTGCCGTTACACGTGCTGGTCCTGTTGGGCTTGACGACCGGCTTGGACTTCTTCTGCACAGACCAGTACCAGCCAAGCATGCCAAAGATCTCAAGGCAGTTCGGTGTGGATCCTGAAGCCGTCGGTTCCACCATCCAGGTGGGAGTTTCCGAAAAATAGGGATACCTTATTTTGGGGGGCTTAAAAATAAGGATCCTACTATTTAGGGGACTTTATCAGGGCCCCCTATTTTCGGAAACCCCACAGGTGCATCTGATAAGCTCCGCCCTGGCGACGCTCTGTGCAGGGCATTGGATTCGACAACGCGGCACGCGACAAATGATACTTTGGTGTCAGCTCTTCCTGGCTGCCGGTGCGCTCGGCTGTGCTTTTGCACCTTCCTTCGGCTGGTTTGTGGTTGGACGCGTCCTGCAGGGCATCTCCGCATCTTCCAGTGTCGCGGTGTCTGCCATGCTGACTGCATCCTACAGTGATCGGGAGGTGGGCAGCTCCCCAAAATAGTACGTCACCCTTCTAAGAGGCACCCTAAAGTGAGCCTATAAAATTATGGTCCCTTGTCGGTTACCCTAAATATTAGGTGCCGTATTATAATAAGGACCCAAAAAGGGGATATAAAACTAAAAAAGGACCCTGATTTAGAGAATTACCCTACTTACTAAGTCCCATGATCCCCATTGTAGAACCCTTATAGATCCCTTTAAATGGAACCCCACGATAGAACCCCATAGTACCCAGGAGCTGAGACGAGCTTCGAACAAAGTGGCATGCGTCGCGCTGCTTGCGCACATTGCAGGGCCTGCGACAGGTGGGACTTTCCGAAAAAACAGTACCTTGGGCCTTAGGGTTCTTCTAAAAGGGTTACTATAAGGCTATAAGGGTTCCTTGAACGGGCTCTATAAGGTTTAGAGTTTCCGAAAATCAGAGGTACCTTGTTTTGGGGGTACTTTAGAACAAGGATCCTACTATTTAGGGTGCTAGATCAGGGTGCCTCATTTTCGGAAACCCTGCAGGTGGGCTTATTGCCTGGGCCTTCGGCAGCTACGGCTGGCAAGTTTCATTTCTTGCCGTCTTTGGCCTCGCTGCCCTGAACATCCTGGCAAGCTACCTCCTCCTGCCCGATGCGGGGCTCAGATTTTAGGGTTTAGGGTTTAGGGTTTGTTAAGGAGTTTGATGTAAGTTTCCATAACAGGGATCTATAATAAAACATATTACGGTTTCCTCATTGTGGTAACTTACAATAGATCCCTCAACAAGAACCCAGGATGCCAGAGTGGACGAGGAGCCGGCAAAAGCTACGCCGAAGCCGCAAAGAGATGGTGTGCTGAGACGACAGCTATTGGTGCTTTTGGGGCTCAGCCTCTTGAGACTGGGCTCCTGACAGGGTACAGGGTTTGGGTTTAGGGTTTAGGGTTTAGGCTCCTGATAAGGAATAAACAATGGGAGCTTCCGAAAATTGGGCGTGGGGGAGAGGGATCTTACTTTGGGGGCCTTATAACAAGGATCATACTATTTAGGGTGCTATATTAGGATCACCTATTTTGGGAAACTCCCAAATAGGGATCTATAGTACCTAATATGGGTTTCCTTATCGTGGTAACTTCAATTAAATTCCTATACCCTTAAAGGAACCCTTATAGATCCCTCATAGGAACCCTGATATATCACCATTATGGTAACTTAATTTAAATCCCATAACAGGAACCCCCCTAAACCCTTAACCCTAAACCTTTAAAATCCCGAGAATCTAAACCCTAAACCTTTAAAATCCCGAAATTCTGGACCCTCAACCCTCTATAATCCCTTAAGACAGAGCCCAGGAGGGGGAGTTCCTATGTCGCTCGAAATGCAGGGAGATCCGGGGGGGTCAGGGCTTTGAGCCTTCAGCCCACACCCCCAAACCTCCACCCCCACACTATAGGGCCTCAAATAATTCGGGGCTTGAGATTCCCTTAGAGTCTTCCTTAAAGGGCTCTACAAGGGATCTATAGTAGGGTTCTATAGAATAGGGCCCCAGACTAAGTACCCATACTATGTTTTTTTTTTTGGGGGGGGGCTCCGAATGATAGATATAGTATACTGGGCCCCTATAAACCCTTTTCGGATTATTAATGCCCCCTATACTATAGTACTCATATAGACCCCTTTGAAAGGAACCCTACTCTAACTATTGCCCTATATTACGCTGATCCAGAGGATGATATAAATCCTGCATAACCTCAAGGACCCTAAACTATGGGAATTATGGTATATTCCTTATTCTGGGTAATGCAGGATTTATATCCCTAAACCCTAAAACCCCTATAGATCCCTTAAAGGAGCCCCTTAAAGGTACCCCTATAGCTCCCTTTAAAGGAACCCTAAGATTTATATCATCAGCCGTCTCATTCGGTTTTTGAGGTCTTAATGTCCGTGAACGGGTTCATCTTCGAGAGCTCCTTCCTGCTAGGCATCCGCCCAGCTTCCCGGCTTCTTCCTGATGTTCCAGAGCCAGGGTTTAGAGTTTGGGGTCTTGGGTTTAGGGTTTAGGGTCTTGGGTTTTGGGTTTAGGGTTTTGGGTTTAGGGTTTTGGGTTTAGGGTTTTGGGTTTTGGGGGTTCAGGGTTTTGGGTTCAGGGTTTACTTTTGTAGTCGTGGCGGTATGCGGGTCCATAGTGGTTCAAGCGCTAGCTTTTGGTAGACGGTGCCTCTTTTCATTCGACGTACATGCTACTTATGATGTTTGTAGGGAAAGTACCAGATGCTGGTCAATATTTATAAGCGTGTTGTCATTTTCTTTTGTTTTTGCTGCATCATCGACTTACGGCGGCGCAGCGAAAGCATTGATGGTGCCGGATACCGCTAGTATCTGCTAGTGCTACCAGTACAGATACTGGGTGCCAGTCGCCTTGGAGTAGTAAGTTGCAGTGGTCGATTGTTAGTCTTACTATTTTTAGTAGTAGCAGTAGTAGCCGCAGCCGCAGCAGTACTAGTTGTTGTTGCAGTAGTAGCAGCAGTGGCAGCATTGGTAGCAAGAGCAGGAGCGGGAGAAGTAGCGGTAGCAGCACTAGTAGCCGTGGTCGTGACCGTAGTGGTATTGGTAGTGGAAGTGCCAGTGGCAACGGTAGTGGTACGCGTACACGTACTCGTAGTTGCTGTTGCCGTTTTCTGATCGCGAGGCATGTTGCAATGTAGAGCCTACGACTCTAGGGACGTTTTTCAGGCTCTGGGGACTTGAGGTTTCTTGCGCCGCAACACCTTGTCAGGAGTAGACTGTAGAAACACTAATGCGAAAACGGGGACGATGGGGAATCCTGGTAACACTCCGGCTGGAATCTCAACACCGAAGCATGGGAAAGGAATTGCAGATACAGTGCCAGCGGCAGTGAACTTCCTCCTCCTCGCAGTCGTATTCTTGTTGCCACTGCGACAGGAACAGCTCCTGCTCCTACTTCCTACAATTGCGATGGTGACGACCTCGACGACGACGGAGTGGACGACGACTCGAACAAGTGCTAGAACTGTTTAAGTATTCCTGCTTGACGACAATGCATACAAGTGCAGAACTGTTTGACAATTAATACCACTTCTGTGTATACCGCTGCATTGCTGCATTGCTGCTGCTGCTGCTGTTGCTGCTGTTGCAACCACGACGACGACACCGCCGATGAGGCGGACGAGGACGATCGATGACGACGATGACGATGTCCCCGGTTTCTGATAGCCGCAACCATAGGAACAGGAAAAGCGGTATTTGTGCATCAGTCGTGGAAAGAAGGCAAGCCAAATATGTTTTCCCAGCAACCTTGATACAAGTCTGCTCTCAAAAATCCTGACATGTCCCCGTAAACCCCGTAAACCCCTAAACCCCCTAAATCCTAAACCTCTAAACCCCTAAACCCCTGCACCCCTAAACCCCTAAACACCCCAAAGGCTGCTGTGATGATGTCCATCTTGGTGGCCTCGAGAGCCTTCGGCATGTTGGCCTCCACGACCCTGGGCTTCTCCCCGGTGGAGGCTAGGGTTTAGGGTTTAGGGTTTAGGGGTTTAGGGTTTAGGGTTTAGGGTTGAGGGTTTAGGGGTTAGGGGTTTAGGGGTTTAGGGGTTTAGGGTTTAGGGGTTGAGGGTTTAGGGTTTAGGGAGTTTAGGGCAATGCAGAGATCGGAAGAAGCACTCATAGTCATAATATCTGGTCTTTGTCCCAGTGTAAGTAATTAATTACTAGGAACATGTCTACTTGCCTTGCGAGTCCAGAAACCCCACCGACGTGAGACTCCGCACCCTTTAAGCCCGAAAGCCTAGACCCTATACCCAAAACCCTAAACCCAAAACCCTAAACCCTAAACCCTAAACCCAAAACCCTAAACCCAAAACCCTAAACCCTAAACCCTAAACCCGAAACCCTAAACCCAAAACCCGAAACCCTAATCCGACAGCCCTAAGCAAGGCCTTGAACCTCTTCTCACCGCTCCTGCTGCTCGCGGCCGGCTATGCCGCCGTGGTGGGCGCTTTCATGATTAGCGACAACCCCTTGACCTACATGTCCGGCCTCGCCTTACATCAGTTCCTAGCCCATGGGCCGACATGGGCGGTCCTGGCAGAAGCCCAAAAGGATCCTGAGCTTGATGATGCAGGCCTCCCGCCGCACATCTATGCTGGGATCATGAATGTCAGCGCCTGCATGCTCTCCTTGTTTGGGCTTTCCGCCATTAGCGGCGGCCCCTCGGCGGTCCTCTACGTCGTTGCCATCATGTCTGCGACGTCCCAGGCGTGCATCCGTGCGGGAAGTCTATGGGCTGCTGCAAAGCAGCTCTTCCGCGCGCAACAAGCTTTGGAAAGCACCTCGGACTCGGACCCAGCGCCGAAGCCTCCTCCGGATGATTGAGGGACCAAGCGGAACTTGGAGAAAAAGAGATCCGGTGCAACTGATACTTGCGATCGATGGCATGCGAGTGCCCTCTCTTGGGGCTTTGTTTCGAGCCAAGGATACAGAGATGCGGGACCGAGGTGGGTGGCAACAACTACTGCTCCTTGGCAAAGCCTCCCTCCTCCAGCCTCCAGTCGCGGTGTCTCCTTACCTTTGGTTAGTAGGGAATGGAAAAATGGTAGTAATAGTAGTTATAATTGTACCCCATTCCTCCATTCCTTAATAACCAAAGGTAAGTCTCTGGGACATGTCAGAACAAATCCGCAACACTGATTGACTAAGCTCGTAGTTGTGGAGGTGATGATTGGTGCAACACCGCCGGCAAGTGGGGCTGTGGAACAGCCACAGATTCTCATTATACCTGCGACTGTGATGGCTGCAATGGATGTGGAAGGCAAGGATACAAAAGCCTGGGAGTTGGCAGTCAAGTAATGTCAAGTGTATCCACACAGTGACACCAACACCAGATCGTCCAGCGTTTATAGGTCCGCAGCATCATCGGGTGTTGGGGATCTGTGTGTGTGTGTGTGTGTGTGAGTGGGTGAGCGAGCGAGTGAGTGGGTGAGAGTGTGAGAGTGTGAGAGACAGGGAGAGAGAGCTGTCGGCAAGAGTAACATGCATTCGATGCACTCGCCTACCTGACTGCAGTGCTGGGACCTCGTCCACCACGTTCAAACTTACCTCCACAGATACCTCGACAGCTACCTCCACACAAACCTCGACAGCTACCTTGACAGATACCTCGACAGCTACCTCCACAGATACCTCGACAGCTTCATCAACAATAACAACCACCTCCACAGCCTCGACAAGTACCTCGGCAAGCGAATCAAGCACATCAAGTATCTCCACAAGTGCCTCCACAACCACTGGATCCACGTCCTCGACCACAATCTCAACCTCCATTTCAACCAGTTCCACCATGACCGAGTCTCTGACATCATCGTCCACGGTTTCCATCTCATCGTCGGCCACGGTCACATCAACTGAAACCTGGACGTCCTCTTCGACAGCATCTTCATCCTCCACACTATCCAGTTCAACAGGCACGGGCTTTCGCAGCAAGTCTGCATCTTTAAGGCATTCGTCAAGTGATGAGAAGATTGCCAGGCTCAGGCATTCATTGGAGCATGATCAGGGGTTGTAAAGTGTTGCAGACACCAGCTGCGAAACTTGATACATGCTTGCTTCATTCGGTGGGGTGCTGGCATTGAGCTGCCTGGTCCCCGGCAGTGTTGGGCTGCACAGCGTCAGGTCAGGGTCTGCTGATGTCCTCTGAGTTGTCTGAATGTGCTCTTCTGTCAATTCCACTCGGAGTGCTGCCGCTGCTCTCCCTGCTGGCGCTCCGGCTGCTCTTGTTGTTGCTGTTGCTGCAGGAACAGTGTCGTCCACCAGCACGTCCGACACGACGGTGACGTCCGCAACACGCACCACAACTTCAACCACAACTTCGGTCACGGCAACGCCATCGTCTACACAGAGCTCATCTGCAACCTCCAGCACAAGCGTAACAGTCAGCTCAACGAGCAGAACGCAGACAGGCACCAGTTCTACCAGCGCAACCTCGAGTGGCACCACGACCGGCACTTCGGTTACGTCGACGACACTATCAACCACCACATTGAGCGTCAGAAGCTGAGAAGCTCATGAGGTTCGCTGGTGTAGAGTGAGTCTACCATCTACCAGCCATCTACTTGGAGGTTCATGGGTAGTTATAAGTGGAGTTGTAAGTAAGGTAACTATACTCATAACCCTTACTAGGGGACTTATAACTATACTTATAACTTATTAGGGGACTTATAACTATTCTCATAACCCTTGTAAAAAGACTTATAACCCCACTGATGGCTACCCATGAACCTCCATCTAGCTGAGGCCACAACGGTCGATGTCTCGGCTGCTCAGAAGCATGGTACCTTCTTGCGAGATGGGTAGTTGTGAAAATTAAGGTCCCTTTTTGGGTACCCTAAATAAACAGGTGCCGTAGTAAATTAGGGACCCAAAAAGGGACCACAGTTTCGACAACCACCCAGATGTCACAACTTGCAGAGATGCACGAGGGTTCAGAGTTCAGGGTGTATAGGGAGGGTTTAGGCTTTAGGGTTTGGGGAGTGTAGGGAGGGTTTTTTGGGTCTACTTTTTCCCCAGAGAACCTGGCACTTTAGGATCTGCGCGGGGTCCCTGGGAATCACCAAGGCTCTGGCGGATGCTGGGGCAGGGCTCTCAGGGCTTCCATTCGACCGCAGCGAGTGTTTCGAAACCCAGCATAATACTATAATCTCATATAATGTGGTATAGTCTAATGTACTATAACATCTGAAGCGTTTCGAGGTTTAGGGCCTAAATGGGAGTTTCCGACAATTGGGGGTACCTTATTCAGGGCTCCTTATACCTACTATTTAGAGTATTTTAGAGTACTATATTAGGGCTCCCTATTTTCGGAAACTCCCAAATGGCCCAAATCTCGAACATCCTGAGACCCAAGTTGAAACTCGAGGTCAATGCCTCTTTGGCCGCTGCGGCTTCGGCTTTGGACGGCCTGGCAGAGGAGAAGAAAGCTGTGGCCAAGAACTTGCTCCCTGGCGGAAGAAAGGATCGGAAAACAGACTTGTAATGTTTTATAAAGCACTACATGTTTTATAAAACACTACAAGCCAAGAACTTGATCCCCGGTTGAAGAAAGGATCGGAACACAGATTGAGTCGGCGATAGATGGAGTATAGCTCGCTGAGTCGGTGGAGAGGCAGTCGGATGAAGAGGCAAAGCAGCCAGTAACAGCCGCGACTGGGACAAACGACGGACAGACAGACGAAGCCAGTGACGGCTTTCTGTTGGGCACGTCTCCCAAACGGTCCTAAACCCGAAGCATGCAAGCAAGCATGGAAAGGGATACATACGATTCAAGACGAACTCTGAAGGCAGGGTTCAGGTTTCGGGGTTAAGGGTATCTCGCGTGAATACATGGGTGTGGCAGGGCAGCGGTGTCTGGTCTTGCTCGGGCTTTCCACGGATGTTTCATCGGTTGAGTTCTACGAACCTTCAGCTTCTTCCTATCGTCCCAGGCCCACCACTAAACCCCTCAATCCTGAACCGTACACCCTTAAACCCTCAAGCCCTAAATCCCCAAACCTCTAAACCCAAAGCCCTGAGCCCACAGAGCCTCGACGCTCACTTAGGCTTGCCTCTGCTGCAGAGCTCCTTTGTCACTGTTGGGTAACATTTTACATGTTTATGGGTACTTAAACCCAATAAGGAATAAAAAGTAAATTCTTAATCCTATCCCAACCATGAACTAGGCTCCTGGCCAACGCGACGGCGCCTGTTGTGGAGCAGGAAGTGGTAACTTCCAGTGGAGCCATGCGGCTGAGTATAATGAAAGGTTAGGACCCTAAACCCTAACTGTTTGATGGCTATCTAAACCATCACAGCTGCAGGTCTGGTTCGGGTAAATGTCGCTGTGATTGGAGTATCGCTGCTAGCATCATTCGGTTGGTATAGTCTGCATCGTCATAGCAACTGTCCTGGTTTGATTGTGCGTGTTGTTCTGGAGCTGATGTTTGCGGATTTGCCGCTGCTAGTCGGGCAGCACTCCGAATTAGGGTCGCTGTCAGGTAGTACGGCACCCTTACAAAAAGGACCCTGAAAGGGACCCCAACTTAGAGAACTGCCCAGTCTTCTTGTAGTATCATTCCAATCCCTGTTGCGGACCTGTGGCAAGGGTTTGGGGTTCAGGGTTGAGGCTTCAGGATTTAGGCTTTAGGGTTTGGGCTTTAGGGTCTAGGTCGTGCAGATATCCAGTGCACCCACCATGGACCGGGGGGTGGAGTGGGCTTCGGAACAAGCAAACAAGAGCGCAACATGTGGCTCGCAGGATCCTTAGATCTTCGGTTAGGTTTTAGGTTTATAAATTGGCAGCTGAGGCCGTCATGAAAGTCGCGGTCTTTCAGCCGGCGGGCAACAGTACCGAAGATGTTGCCGTGTCAGGAGAAGGTGAGGACATCCGGTTGCCCTGTTTCAGTAGTCACAGATCGCAATACTAGGCACTTAACATCATATAAAAATCTATATGTATGTAGATATGTATGTATATGTATGTGTATGTACGTATATTTGTGTATATGTATGTATATGTACGTATATGTATGTGTATGTATGTATATGTAAGTACTCCAGGTACATGTATGTATATGTATGTATGTGTATGTATCTGTATGCATATATGTAAATGTATCTGTATGTATCTGTATGTACATGTATGTATATACGTGCGTTCATGATCATACATATGTATATATATATATATATATGTATACATGTGTACATACACGTATACGTACATATACGTGTACATACATTTTTGTATATGTACATGTGTTTACATTTTTTATGTATACGTAGTGTTTGCACACAGACACATGTACAGATGCATACTGTACATGCCTACATAAGTACATCACTTGCACTCACAGATGTATGCATGCAAGAGCATGCAAGCAAACTTACATAATACGCATAAGCCGTACATACGTGCACACCAGCAGGCGTACTTACACACATATGCACAGTTCCTTGAGCACGAAGCCTGAGTGCCAGCACTCCGCAGCGCACTGCACTGTCACTGCTCAATATATATAATTATATATATATATATATATATATATATATATATATACGGGTATACATACACATACACATGTTATTCAAGCATACAGTAATGAACATACATACAGACGAACATTCATGCATGCATACGTACATGCATAGAGACATCCGTATACAAGAGACACACACACACATGCATACCTACACAGACCTACAGACACACAGACATACACAGAGCTGGTATCATTTCAGACCGATGGCTTTGGTTCGATTCGACAGCCTTGTGGTTGCAGGTGGCGTCGAAGTCAAGGTCCCGACAAAGGTCCTGGATCAGTCTGGGGCTCGCATCGGGTTTGCTTAGTTTCAGAGCTTCTTACTTGTTTCTCAAGGTGATTTGCGGCTTTAAAGTTTGCCTGAGCTTTAGAGCTTGGCAGACTTAGCGGTTAAGAGCTGGACGGGTTTAGGGGCCTTGATTTCGATGATTTGTCTTCGAGAAGTTCGCGTCATGTCTCATGTTCTGTGGGGAAGAAGTGAAGCTTATGTCGGAAGATGCCAGATGTTCATTATTCACTACGCAGACACACACACACACATTCGTTGAGCCCTATGCCGGAACCAGCCGTACTTCTTCTTCGTCTTCCGTTCCACCATTAGTTCTGCTCTGCCGCCTCTACATAGTTGCCTGTGTCTTCAGTTGATTCTAATGAACATGACGATGATCAGCTCGATACTACCAATTAGAAATGCGACAAGCAACACGAACGCAAGTCTACACACACACATATACATATATATGTATATATATATATATATGTATATATATATATATATATGCATATATATATGAATATGTAATTGTCCTACATAAACGAATAACTCTTTACATAGGTATGAACATATACATTAGTACAATATATACAATACGTAATATACATATACATACATATATATATATATATATATATATATATGTTTATATGTAATGTAATGCAGTGTAATGTAATGTAATGTACTTCAATATAGCCTAGTACACTATCTGGCAAATATTTATATCTAAACAAAAAATAGGTATAAATTTGAATAAAAATACATAAATAAAGACATATATATATATATATATATATATATACATATATATATACATATATATATACATATATATATATATATATGTATTTATTCATGTATGTGGCCATTCTGATGTCCTGAAAGCAAGGCTCGCTGGCAAACTGGCCGGGCCCGTGGCGCTGTCTGTAGGACGCGCTGGGATGTCTTTCGTGCTCCTTACAGAGCCGAGTGTAATCCATGACTCGACCCTTAGGGCATTAGGGGGGTAGGGGGCTTTAATGCCCAGAAAAAGGACCAAATAGGGCCAAAAGAGATAAACAAGTCCCCTCCCCCCCTTCTCAAGGTCCCTATGAGTGACTATCAGCTCTTAAAGACCATGCTGAGCAAGGATTCTACCATCCCAGAAATCACAATACCCCTTTATTAAGGAATATGCCTGAAACTATAGGGGGCTTAATATGAAGATTCAAGGCATATTCCTTAGTTAAGGAGTATTGGGATCTCAAGGATTGTGCTTACTCAAGTTAGATGTTCTCTGTGAGCATTGCATCAATACCCTCCGCGAGGAAACGTGCCAAACAATACGAAAGACATCTTGGAGTCGGTGATGAGCTTCTGCCTCAATTTTCTGTGGTCACCGTCGGAAGATCACATCTTTCAAAGCTGAAGAAAGCCACCATGTGGGAGTTTCCCAAAATAGGGGGCCCTAATATATTATCCAAAATAGTGGGATCCTTGTTATAGGGGCCCCAAAATTAGGTACCCTAATTTTCGGAAATTCCCATGCGTGTTCTGATTCAGGTCAACAGTCTGAGTCTGCTTCGTCCGCTGCACCGACGTTGACATCAGAGCCTTTGGCCGTGACTCTGCATCTTGTCCTTCAACTCTAAATTACTTAAAGGGTCATGGGAATCAGTAACTAGGGTTATAATTAAGGTAACTATACTTAGAACTACTTATAACCCCAAGTCAAGACTTTTGCTTGGTGGTTGTATTCGTAGGAGAACAGCGCTGCAGGCGGTGGCAGCCGTATCGGATCTCTTGGATGTCGCTTTGGGGTCCCAAGTGCGAAAGCTCTCGCTGCTTCTTCGCGGGTTGCTTATGCTACAGGATCCCACGTTTAAGTATCCAACTATTCCACTTAGGAGTTCCTTATTTCCCGAAGCTTCCAAATCTTGAGGTATGATGCCGACGGCAACGAGCTCTCAAACCTGAGCTTCGAGGTGTGCGTGTCAGTACTGAAGCACATGTCTAGGGAGTGTATAAGGTTTAGGTATAGGGTGTAGCGCCAGTGTAGGGGGTCGAAAATCGCTACAAGTCAGTACATATACAGATGTATAGCTAGACACACACGTTTATATACATACACACAAACAAACCTCTCTCCTGGTATATACCTATATATATATATATATATATGCACATATTTATACACATATGCGTATATAACTGGCTGGCTGACTGACTGACTGACTGACTGACTGACTGAATGAATGAATCAGTGAATTTATGTCTGAGTGTACATTGCATCTATGTTCTACGTGCAAAATATGCCGTGTGCCATTATCTATAGTCTCCTTAGGAATTATTTTGTACTTGTATTCATAAAAAAACCCAAGAGAATGTCCAACACATTATTTTTGTTGTGGTTCTAAGGGGGAAAAGTAGTTATCTGCTTCATCTTCGGAGGAGCCCTTGGAGCTTGTCTTGCAAGGCACAGCAGATCCAAAGGCGGGAGCTCTGCTTGTGCTCTGAAGGTTGGGGTTCAGGGTTTAGGGCCTAGTTTGGGGTTTAGGGTTTAGGGCCTAGTTTAGGGCTTAGTCATGCTCTGAGTTTAGGGCTTAGGGCCTAGTTTAGGGTTTAGGGTCTAGTGCCTAGTTTAGGGCTTCGGGTTTAGTGCCCAGCTTAGGGTTTAGGGATGTTGGTTGAGTTAACTCGACTCACCGCTGCTTGGCATCCGGTACGTAGTCTTTGCGTTTCTTTCATGCCCATGAGTGGTGGCCCGCAGTATGGACCAGCTTTAGCACATCCGAAGCTTCTCCACGGCATCCATTCGACAAAATCCCAAACCCTAAACCCTGTTCGGCATAGACCCCAGACTGTGGAAGACCAGGGGTTTCTGCATGCAGGCGGTTTGAGAGGAGCAGGTGTATGTAGGCTAAGACCGCTGTTATTTTGAGCCATGTTGCATGTATGGATGCCCTCGGGAGAGCAGTTGGCTGCTTTCCCCGTGGATGACGTGCCTGATGTGAAGACCCTGAAGAGACGCCTTTGCCCGCTCTGTGGGGCGAGTCGCTTCAGGCAGCGACTCCTGCATGCCGGCGCGGACCTGCCTGATAGCTCTCGGATCGATCACCCGATGGACTTCAACCTTGTGCTCCTGCCTTTTGCCGAATCCACTCGGTTTGAAAGGGATGAGTTGACCGGGGCAGCTATGAGTGGCAAGGTGGCAGACGTCGAGAGGATGCTCCAGCGCCCGCAGGATCCTAATCAACTCGGCACTACCGAATACGCCTTCGGTGAAGAAGACATCGAAGCACCTTTGGCTTGTGCCGCGCGCACAGGCCGCGAGGAGGTCGTCCGTCTGCTGCTCGAAGCCTTGGCTGATCCGAAGATGCATGGAACCATCGGCCCTGCTCTCCAAGGTGCCTGTGAGTACGGCTACACAGGCATCGTCCAGTCGCTGCTGGAGCACCGGGCAGACAAGAACCATGTCAACTTCATGTATGACCCGGGGGAGACAGCTCTGGACTGTGCATGCGAAATTCAACGTCTCGATGTCGTTCAGGCTCTTCTGGAGGCCGGAGCTGAGAGAAACGACGCAATGGACATCACGCCTCTCATCTGCGCTTCGGGCAGAGGCAAGGAGAGTAATGTCAGCTTCTTGCTCTCTGCCCCTGTTCACGAAACAGCGAACCTGGGGACTGCGCTGATAGCCGCCTCCAGCCAGGGACACGAGGAGATTGTTCGCCTTCTGTTGGAAGCCCAGGTAGACGAGGAGCTGCTTCGCAAGCTCTTTCCGACCGTCTTGTTTTGCGCCACCTCTTCGGGCAATAAGAGAGCCGAGAGAACTGTGCGGGTGCTGCTGGATTTTCTTGCTGCCAGGGGTTGGGCCTGCGACTGCAGTGTGGCCTTGGCTTGTGCAGAGGATGCTGGGCAGGCAGAGATTGCCAGTCGCCTTCTGCAGGCTCACCTTTCCGACGGGACAGCGGCATCTCTCCTGAATGCAACCAGAAGTGGCGGCCGCAGCATGGCCGAGGTGCTTCTGGAGACTACGGCCAGGGACGCTCTGGCCGACACCGCTGGCTTGGCACTCCTGGCCAGCGCCTCGAGTGTCGGCGACATGGAAGCCATGAACCTGCTGCTCCAGGCACTGGCCGACAGGGGCTTGGGCCAAGGCATCAGCCCCACAGCGATGGCCTTTCTTTGTGCAGTTCATCGGGGTCGCTTTGAAGCCGCGGAGCGGCTGTTTCGGTCCGTGGCCGGAACCACCCCCGTGGCAGAAGATGATATCTGGGCCTTGATGACCTTGGTTGGAGGTCTCATCGAGACTCGACTCCACTCCAGTGTTTGATCAAGGCCCCAAGATGCTGAAGTACTGGTCGTGTATCCTGTTGCCAAGCAGTGCCTGGAAAAAAGCGCGTTTGCCATGTGTGGTCGGCCCCGCATGCTGCCTTTGTGCCACTGGGTCTCAACTGCTATCACAGGTCTCTGCCTTCTGTCCGAGACTTCATCGCATCTGCGCTCGTCCATCTGTGTCCCAGATACAGACGTCAGCGAACCATCCCCGCCGTGCCATCACTTGAATTCACGTGGAAACAGCGACGAAGACACATCAGGAGCCACCGAAGCACAGCACGACCATGTAGCAACAAGTTCAGCATATGTGGATACCGTATTGAACGCCGTATTGATTAATATTGTGCCTTCCCATGTCCACTATTCTCCTTCGCAGAAAGAAAAGTTTGGATTGATTTCGGCGATCATGGAGGATGGCAACAGGTTTGGGTGGGTTCAAAAGATCAAGGAAACTGGGTATGACCGCCTTCGAACATGTGGGTGCAGGAAGCCCAGACGCAAGACATAACCGGAAGAACAAACTCGACTACAGAAGCCAAGTATGCGGAACTCACTGATACCGTTAACTGAGGTATATGATGGCTGTTGTTGTTTCTTCTTCGCGGTCACTTCTTCAATTTGGTTACCATTCATGTTGACATTTTCCTTTTTTCAAGTTCTGCTGCGCGGGGAGGCTTGTTAGGTCTGGATGGGAAATGGTACCAGCGGTGGGGCGGACAAAGAAGACACTTTATGAAAAGGTCAGGGCGTGCTTGGTACCAGCCATTTGCCAACCACACGTTGTCTGCATCTAAAGTCCTTGCAGGCAGTTTGCGTCTTCTGGGATGAGCAAGCCGGCGATTGGTCGAGGGCAGGCGTTCAGCGCGTTTCATCCGACCCGTCGAACCCGGGCCAGCAAGAAGAGGGAAACACTCCTAAACCCCTAAACCCTGTGTGGGAGAGGGAGCTTTAAATCCCAAAGGCACAAATTCCTAATCCCCAGATCGCCCATCCCCAAACCTCTGACCCCCCCCCACCTCTCCCAGGAAGCTGATCTGCAGCACCACACATCTTAGCATCTTCGCGGCCATCATCGAAGCGATTGAGGACGGGGGTTTCGTGTTTCTATTAGGGCCATTACTGGTAGGGCTTCCTTACCTCGGTTTACGCAGCTGAGCCATAGTGCTTGGATATATGGGTTCCTTGCAGTCCTGCGGAGCCCAAAACCCCCATACCCAAACCCCAGAGCGGTAACAATATGAGCGAAATCTTCACAACCTGTTCCCTAAACCCTAAACTTTTCGAGCTCGCCAGCCACATTGCAATTTTCAAGAGTTTTGGGGTGGGTGCCTCTAACGTCTGGACAACTTACACAAGCAAGCAACCAGCCAAATACACGGACTTTCAAGCACACAACTAACCAAGCACATGAATAGACTGACAGACAGATGAAGACAAAAGTGGGCTCATGGATTCGGATGGATAGATGGATGCACCGTTGGCTAGATGGGTACGTGGATAGATGGACAACGGAAGGTGGATAGAATGGCAAGCAAAGAACTAATATATGTGCAGGCATGTATCATGTAGGTGTATGTATGTATATGTATATGTATATATATATATATATATATATATATATATAGTATAATATGCAAGATAATAAAACATAATATATATATATATAATATGTATATGTATATGTATATGTCTATGTCTATGTCTATGTCTATGTAAATGTATATGTATATGTATATGTATATGTATATGTATATGTATAAGTATATGTATATGTATATGTATATGTATATGTATATGTATATGCATATGTCTATGTCTATGTCTATGTCTATGCATATGTATATGTCTATGTATATGTATATGTGTGTATGGGTGTATGTGTGTATATCTATGTATATGTATATGTATGTGGATGTCTGTGTATATGGCTATGTTTATGTACATGTACATGTATATGTATATGTATATGTGTGTATGGGTGTATGTGTGTATATCTATGTATATGTATATGTATGTGGATGTCTGTGTATATGGCTATGTTTATGTACATCTACATGTATATGTATATGTATACGGACGTATATGTATACGTCTATGTCCATGTAGATGTAGATGTAGTTGTGGATGTAGATGTATATGTCTTATGTATACGTGTAAGCATACATGTATGTACATGTATGTACATTTATGTACAGGTACGTATATTACGTGTACTTGTGTATGCAGGTATGTATGTATGTACGTATGTCTGTATGTACGTATTCATGTATGTACGTATGTATTCATGTATGTATGTATGTATGTAGATACGTATCTGCGTGGGTATATATGTGTGTAGGCACATAATTAGGTATGTCGGTGAGCGGGAGGGAGGGAGGGAGGTGGGTATGTATGAGCACGCATATATATATACACATCTACACATACATACATACATACATACATACATACATATACATATATATATATTGCATTATATTATATTGTATTATATTGTATTATACATGATGTACACACAGATATACATATTTTGATACACATGCACACCTTTGTGTGTGTATATATATACACATCTGTATACACACACATATATATATATATATATATACAAATATTATATTATATTATATTATATCATATTATATTATATTATATTACATTATATTATATTATACTATATTATATTATATTATATTATATTATATTATATTATATTATATTATATTATATTATATTATATTATATTATATTATATTATGTTATATTGTATTATATTGTATTATATACAGATAGCAGCAGCACGGACATATGGAGGACGAACAGTGTTTGTACATGCAACATGTCATGTAAGACCGTGTCCTGCTTATCTAGTTACCTACAGGCTGGCAGGCGTGCCTGCAGGCAGGCAGGCAGACGGACAGACAGACAGACAGACAGACATGGATGCACATGCACACACGTGTGCGTGTCTTACAACTGTTCGAGCCTGTCTCGAGGACACTTTTTCCTGCAGCCAGGCGGCCGCAATCTTCTCGTCTGAGGGCTTCCGCGCTCTTTTCTCAGGCGCTCAGGGCTTAGGTTTCATAAAGGTTTCATAGCGCCGTATCGGTTATTAAGGCTTGATCAGCTCTCTTCTATGGTTTCGGGTGTTTGGCTTTCAGGGTTAAAGCTTCCATGCCGCCTTTGAACTGAGCCTCAGGTGATTGGTGGAGCCGTTTCCCGGCCATGTTGCGCCCCGGCTCACGCTGCCTTCGGACTGTATACCCATGGGCTCCATAGTAGTTCCTTGGGATGGTACATATAAACCACGAAAGGGAACTACAATGGAGCCTATGGGTACCTGAATGTAGTGGTACGGGGCAGGAGACATTTCTTCGTGTTTGATGGTAAGATAGAAATCATGGCCAATCATGGCCGCCTCTGACGATGTGGCATAGTATCATATCATGTACTAGGATGCAAGGTACGGTGTAGTGGTACAAAGCGATGCAACTGTCATGCAACATCAGGCAGTCCAGCAAACTTGTAAGCTTTACTGCTTGCCTCTGCTGGCAGGAATTGGATGTCCTTCGTCCTCGGGGCGGTGATTCTGTACCTGGCACACCGAGCCGACAGAATGCATGCTGACGTTCTCGATGCTTTGGAGACTGCCGAGGCTTTAAGCCGGGGATTCAGCGGCAATGCAACGAATGAGTGTCATATCGATGAAATGATGTTATCAACAGCGAAAGTCATAATAATAGAGCGTGGCATGGCTAAGATGTTCATGGCACAATAACACAATACGGCTAGCATGCCTTTTGGTGGAAGTTCCCTGATACCTAGATGAACGAGCGAAGTGAGAGTATCCTCGAAGTATCTCGGACCGGTAAAGTTGACGAACAGGCAGCTGAGGGCGCCACATCCGATGAGGAGACACAGGTGGAACCTGCTGCAGTGGAAAGGGTCGAGGACTGGGTGGCTCCTTCGATATTTGCTATACTATATGCTGTCACCACACTACATAGTCTACTATATACTCCCTTCTCACTGCACGTCATACTGTACTATATACTTCACTATGTTCGACCATCACCGGGCTTCTCTCTTCTGTTCTTGACACTGCATGCTGCCGCATGATAGCCGAGTCCTGTTGCATGACAGTCTCTAGCCTGGCATTCTTGCGTCTCTTGTCCGTGACGTCATCATTACAATAATAAGCGCCCATACCATGTGAGAGTGGATTTGTATAGGCATTGCCCCAATGTTGTCTTTCTGCGCCTCAGTCGCGATCCTTCACCGCGAGCTCCGGATGTCAGTCAGTAGTCAGTGCTACGATCTCTTGTGTTCATTGAAGCTCGTGGTATACCACTCTGTTTCCTCATAGTGTCTAGGGTTCATCTGTGGCATGATGACGGCCTCGGGAGCTCGTGGGCCTTCACGAGGGGCTTTCCTAGGTCCTAGGGTTTTGCGTTCAGCGGCAGAAAGTTCGCCCGTTGGGGTTCCCGAGAGGGGGATGGCCTGCCGGAGCGTTTCTTAGTGAACGTCTACCCTTTTCTGAGGCAGTTTGTTGCCCTTAGCGAGCACACCTCAATTCATAAAGGAGGCCCCTGCGTTCTAGAGCTGATGTTTCCGATCGGCTGCTAACATGATTGTCGAGTGTCGTGCGACAACTTTACCTGTCATCATCATGTTGAAGCCACATAGTCTTCGTCTTTGTCAGTTAGAATCATCTCACCTCTGAGAAGGATCCTGTGGCAGAGTATGCCCCGAAGTCCAGCTCAGCGGCGCCCCGCAAGTTCACTTTGAGATGGTTCTGGCGGTGGCTGGCTCGATGGAGCATCTACCAGGCCACTCTTCAACTTGGGAAGTTGCAGAACACTCACTGCATCTTACTGCGGCATGTCAGTGAGCCCTAAACTCCTAAATTCCAAACCCCTTAAATCCCTAAACCCTAAACGGCCCTAAACCCTAAATTCCAAACCCCAAACAGGTTCTCTTTGCCCATGTCGGCACAGATCACAAGCTTCTGAAGAGAAGTTTCAGCGAGACGGGCTTGACGAAAGCGCCTCCTGGCACACGTAGGGCTCTGGTTTATCATGGTACTCTTATGGGTATTACCGTTTATGGTTTAGGGGTTATTCTAGGGTATCTGGGAGCTAGAGTAGGGCCTTCTTCCCTTTTTTAGGCTTCAGGATCCCTTATAAGCCCCTTCAAACCAAAAAGGGCATCCTGTTTATTCCTAGGTTACTCTTAGGTCCAGGTCCTCTAGGTATTGTTATGGGTATTATTCTAGGCATTAGAATAGGTATTGACTAAAGGTATTACCATGGGTATTCTTATAAGTATTACTATAGGTCTTGTTATAGTGATAGTATAGTATGATTGTAGTACTGATCGAACCTCAAAGCCCTGTCATCTTACTGCCTCACCGCTGCAAAAGGCACGAGGTGGCAGAGAACACAGCCACTTCAGCTGTCCGCGGTTCTTCATGGAAGAAGCTCTTGTTGTTACTCGGCCGGGGTTTCGAAGCTTTTCCTTCCGAAATGCTTGTTGAAGAGAGCCGATAGCTCGTGGAATCTGCCGAGGTTCTTCACGGTCTGGAACGAGTTGAGGGCTCAGTGGGCTAAAGACGAAGGCTGTTGCGGTGGTTTTTGGGATCTTGCGAATGTCCAAAAGATCTTCAGGTGGCTGGCATTCGCTCTGCCGGATCTTGGCACAACATGCAGGCCAGCCTGAGATCCATCATGGAGCGTAGCACTGTTCAGGCGTTCACGCCTAACCCGGACACTCTAAACAAGCTCTCATTCCTAAGCCGGAGATCCTAAACCTACACCTGAGCCCACGCAGGCAGCGAAGTGCAGCAGTCTTTGCCAGACTCATTGGTTGCTGGGTGCAGGGCCGAGTCAAGACAGTGCTGGTGTTTTCTTATCGACATGGCTCTGTCATTTATCGTCATTGCTTCTCTCGCTGTTCATATCGCACGCTTTCCGATTGACCTGACTTTTAGTATTATTGTGTGGCTCCTCCTCCTTCTCCCGCTCCTACGGCTTACATGCATGCATGCGCCTGATGAACGGTACAGTAGATACACAAGTGCTGCACTGACGATGACACGTGCGGTTTTCACCCGCCAGCCTGCAGGCACGCGCACACATACACAAGACTGCACACACAACTTGATGCGGAGGTTTGTGCGTTGTCTTGCCGGGATTGAAAAATTAGAATCTCATACTGAGTAGCATCTTCATCTTTTTTTGCTGACCGACACCTCTTGCGACTAAGGCAACATCGGCGGTGTTTTTCAATTCCTCTGCGCAGGGCAATACAGACGTCGATCCTCGCTGCACACGCGAGGCTGGCTGTCGGAGAGTATACATCTTAGCATACCACTGCTGCTGCTAAAACTACTACACCTACTACTACTACTACTACTACTACTACTACTACTACTACTACTACTACACTACTACTACTACTACTACTACTACTACTACTACTACTACTACTACTACTACTACTACTACTACTACTACTACTACTACTACTACTACTACTACTACTACTACTACTACTACTACTACTACTACTACTACTACTACTACTACTACTACTACTACTACTACTACTACTACTACTACTACTACTACTACTACTACTACTACTACTACTACTACTACTACTACTACTACTACTACTACTACTACTACACTACTACTTACTACTACTACTACTACTACTACTACTACTACTACGACTACGACTACTACTACTACTACTACTACTACTACTACTACTACTACTACTACACTACTACTACTACTACTACTACTACTACTACTACTACTACTACTACTACTACTACTACTACTACTACTACTACTACTACTACCTACTACTACTACTACTACTACTACTACTACTACTACTACTACTACTAATAACAATATTACCAGTGCTAGTACGGGTACTGGTGCTAGGACTGGTACTTGCACCAGTGCTAGTACCAGTACTTGTATTAGTACTAGTAGTTGTGCTAGTGCTCCTGCTCCTTTCCTACTACTACTACGACGACGATGACGACCGCGACTACGGCAGCTACAAGTGGTCGGTGCTTCGACACGATTGTCAAGACTGGTGGTTGCAACAGCACCCGAAATACTCCTTTACCCAGCAGCATTTCGACGGCTAATGTAGCACGGACCATCCCTGCGTTCTTGGGGTGTCGGGCTTAGGGTTTAGGGGTTTCTTAGGGTTTAGTGCACGTATGGGTACATTGCCGCATGTTGTGTCAGGCATTCCTGGCAGATCCGCTGAGATACGGCGTGCGGGCCGCTCTCGTTGCCACCTCAGCCTCGGTTCAAACGCGCCTTAGGCTTTAGGGCGTAGATTGCAACTGCCTGCCCCGCAGCTTTACGCAGGTGGGTTTGATCAGTCTGGTCGTGGGTTCGCTGCCCATCGCTGCACTGCTAGCCCTTTCAAGACGCTCGGACGGTGTTGTGAGGTCGACGACACGAGCTAAACGTAGAAAGCTGACTGAGTTTGGAGTGACCGTCGGACGGACGGTTGTGCACAGGGACGCACACTTACCCCCTGTGACACACACCGGGACACGAACCACCCACATATGCATGCACGTGCGTACGAACACAAAGACACATCGCTGATGCCGCATATGTATAGGTTTATGCATGTCAGTATACAGTATACATGTATGTATATATGTATATATATATATATATGTATTCTATATACATCTGCACATGCACATGCACAGGCACACACACACACACGTAGACATACACTTTCGCATACGTGTATGTATATATATATATATACACAGGCATATACCACCACACGTGGACATACACTTTCGCATACGTATATATATATATATATATATATATACATATATATATATACATACAAGCATATACGCATGTGCATACTCACATTTATACATGCATGCTTGCAGGCATGCCTACATACATACCTACATACCTATATACATACATACATACATGCATGCATGCATGCATGCATGCATACACATACACACGCACATGTGCAGCACAACACGTATGAATATATGTGTGTATGTCAGCATACCAGACTTGTTCATTGTTCCACGATGCAGCAAGCCTTGAATACATTGCTCGTAGACTCGTCGTAGAAGGCTCAGAACAGGCTCGATGCTTCGAGGGAGACTTGAGAAAAGCAGCACAGAGTCTCGCTCAGGAGCCCGCCGGAACGATCGGTGGAAGATGCTCAAAGGAAGCGTATACTGGCTTTTCATTGGCTGCTTGGTTTGACGAGTTGGTAGTGTTGTATGACTTTTGGCAGAGAGGCTGCAATCAAGAAGCACCGCCTTTTTCCTAGAGCTTGAGAAGCTAAGAGTCTCGTGACGCCCGAAAAATACCGCTAAGTGCTTTCGCCCTACACCCTAAACCTCTACAGCCCCAAGACCCAGCAAGCTCCAAGTTGGATATTCTATCTTTTGCGACCTGGTGCTCTGCATCTTTCTAGCGCATGTGAGCCGATTGGATGCTGAGCTCCCTGGCGGGTTTTGGGTTTAGGGTTTAGGGGTTTAGGGGTTTAGGGTTAGTTGAGGTAAGTCGGGTGTGGAAATGAGCGGGTAAGACTATTCTTACTGTATATGGGATGGAGGGTGAAGAGTTCATTGCACTTCAGTATGTGACCATTCGAACAACCGACATTGTGGATAAGGATCTGGGCGTTTGCTGGACTGAAGCTCTTTCCGCAAGAAGCTCACATGGTTATTTGCCTGATGATATGTGGATGCAGAGATCCGCGGTGTCCCGTGGCCTTCCTGTCACATGGGTGGTTGTCAAATTATGGTCCCTTTTTGGGTCCCTATTATTATAATACGGCACGTAATATTTAGGGTGCCCAAAAAGGGTAAAAGGAGCCATCATTTTGACAACCACCCGCATGTTGATCGAGTTGCCGCGACCCACTATGAGAGCAGCTGACTGTTGTTGTAGAGGTTGGTGACAGCGGCATTGATGTGGCGACAACGCTTTTGACAGAGATGGCATTCAGCAGCCACCGTCATAACCATGATCAAAATGCCAAGATATGCCAAGATCATAGATAGTGCCCGTGATCACATGAGAGGAGTGAAGCGCCATGATGTGCTTTCAGGACAAGCTTCGTGACCAGCCTGGCCTTGTTTCCCATTCTCGTGACATTAGCTGTTGCCCCGGCGCTGCTCTGGCTTTCCTTCAACAAGGATGTTGCCGAGCAAATGACGCTGAGCTGGAAAGAGCCTGTAGAGACTCTGAGCTCTGATGACTCTGGAATTTCACGGCATCATCCCTTTCGTCATCGTCATGAGGATCAGCATCAAAATCACCGTCATGACTACCAGCATCACCAAATATCACCAACATCACCGTCTTGACTATCATCACCATCATCACAAGCAGTGGACGCAATGGGAACACCGAATACCAACAACAAGCATCTGTAGATTCCACTTCTGGACTATGCCACCTAATCTGGCACACTGCTTTGCGCCCCCCTCAGCGCATGCTTGTCGGAGGTATCTTACTCTTTTGGTTCCATCTGGCGGCTTTTTCCGAGGTTCCCATACGCAGACTTGCAGAACCACACATGGGCGTCCGAAGCCCTAAACTCCCAGACGCCCGAAAGTCCCAAGCGCCAAGTTATTCCGACATCTGCCCGTGGCTGGAGAGCCAGCGGCGAAGATCGTGGCTGGAGCTTATGCCTGGAGGCAGGGTGCTTGACAGCCCCTGCAACTCGGTCATGCTACATATTTATACGTAGAGATACCAGTAACCCTTTTATAACCTACATGTGGCAGTTTCCGGAACCTCCCCGTGTAGCATCCTCTCATTCTCTGAGGTTCTCATTCTCTGAGGTGGCCCTGACAGTGAATGTTGAAGGTCTCGCACGAGAGCCTAAACATAACCGAGAGCCCTGGATGCTGGACCAAAAGAACTGGGAATGATATGTACAATGTTTTATATCTTGTCATAATATGATGTATCATCATATATGTCTTCTCGTAGATATATGACTCGTGACACAAATCCCCAATAAATCCTACACAATGTAACGCCTGGCAGAGATGCAGGCGCAGCGGCCGAAACACCAGCTCCGTCACGAGCCAAGCGCTTCTCGGTGGACTCCGACTCTGCGTTGTAGCTCGGCCGGCACTGGGCCTGTTGCAGTTTGGGAGTTTCCGAAAATCAGGGGTTACCTTATTTTGGGGGGTCCTTATAATCAGGGTCCTACTATTTAGGGTATCATATTCGGGTCCCCTATTTTCGGAAACTCCCATTTCGGGTTTGAGTTCTTGCCGCTGTCGTGGTGGTCATCGGCGTCTCATGTGCGTCGCCGCAATGGTCCAGCATCTTCTTGTCTTTGTCTCGTCCTGGTCATCGCCATCGTCATTGCCCTGTGTCGATGGTGACCGTCGCGGTAGTGAAACAGCCGTTGACATAGGGAAAGACGGTCAGGTGGAGAGGGTGCCAACAACATCCCGGCATCATGGAAGTATTCTCCACCTCTGACAGGTTCTTACACACATCAGCAGCCGCAGCCTTGGGAATAGTCACGGCCTCTTCGCAGCAATGCGATCGGTTCAGGGTACGAATCGTGGGGACGCATTTACTTCCGGCGCATCCTGCGCCAAGGCACGGAGGACTGTGCAGTTTAATTGTTGGCTCATGTTCTCCTTGCCGTTCAACGTACTGCCGCATACTAAGACTAAGAACCGCATGGACGGCAACCATCGTAAACCTCGTTTCGCTGGCATTCTGAATGACACATTTTTCGGCGGAAGCACTGCTGCGAGCCTTGACGGTTTAAGGCTCCGGGCGTCCCGGGCCTTTTGGAAGCTTTGAGGAAAAGGTCCCCTAAGCCCTAAACCCCAAGATGCCGAGGATCTTTCGGCCTTCGTAGGCTTTGCGCCATGTGGCTTTCAGGCCTCAAAGAGCTCCCCTGCTTGGACGACTGTTTAGCAGATGGTGAGCGGTGACGATAAAAACGCTTCCCAACTCCTCAGGACCCCAGTTCATAGAACTCCGCACCCATAGACTCTGTGCGTTCACGACTCCTAGACAGCTCGAGTAGCTGCCATCCTCAACCCGTACCTAATGTGCTGAATCTCAAGCTGTTAGGCCAGGCTAAACATTCCAAAGTCCCCTAAACCCTAAACCCTGAACCCTAAACCCCCAACTCTGAAGTCAAGAGGTCCATCTAGAGGACGAGCTGAGTGTCGACGAGGCGCATGAAGCATCGTCTCGGCTCGAATCAAAAGGAAGCTGATTCTTCCTCTTCTTCGCTCTCCGGCACAGTTGCCTTTTGTGTTCCTCTTTGTCTGCGTTGGTACTGCCGCTCTGTTCGGTTTCTTGTTTCTCGGGTGCTAGCAGTTGTTGTGACGTGGTTGTGGTTGCGGTTGTGGTTGTGGTAGCGGCTGTCTTGTTGTCGTTGTTGGGGTCGTCGTCGTCGGTGTTACGCATGCTGCTTTGAAGTGGTCGTCGTGCAATTACTGCTGCTTCTCTTTCTGTCGTTGCTGCTGCTGTTGAGCGTTTCCTCTTCGCTTGCTTTGGTTCGTTTGCCTGAGCCTGCCGAATCGGAAGCAGCCTGAAGCAGGTAGCAGCAGGCGGCAGCGTGCCGATCACTGAGTCGAGAGCTCGCTGTGCAGATGCTTCGCAGAACGCCTCATGCCACTCCTGTAGATCAGTGTGTGCAGGTGATTTTAATTTTAATTATATATATATATATATATATATATTTACATATGTATGTGTATATATATATATGTACATGTTTCTACACATGTCTATTCATTCTGGTTATACTTCTATGACTTATACAGCCTTATATATATATATATATATATATGTATATATATATATATATATCTGTATGTATGTTTGTATTTGTACCTATATATGTTCAGTTTCCTACATACACATACACAAGATGTCCCTATGTCATATGAGTATCTACCTGGAGCTAGGCAGTTCTTCTGCGATGATGGTTCAGCCTGCCTTGCTAGACCAACTTGAGGCCGACTCGACAAGTTAATGCAGAAGGTGGCGGCACCGCTTCTCGTCAGTTCAGCTTTTATTTTTGGTTTATGTGTTTAGTCCTTGATTTTGCTTCCTTTATCGCAAGTTCGAGGATCCAAATCCTAAACCCAACCGTCCGTGCGTTTCAAGGTGCACATGACGCTCCCCAACCAGGCCCTCCCTTGTGCTGGTTAGACATGTCGCGTCGTTGCTGTCGCGAGCTCTGCTTTGGGGCGACTGACCGACAAACTCGCTCGTTTTTGTTCTCTCTCTCTCTCTCTCTGTCTCTCTCACTCTCTCTATACACATACATATGACATGCGTGTGTGGGTGTGTGTGTGTGCCAATCTGAGGAACGATGTATTAGTATGTCTATATAGATATGCATATACAGGCACATACATACATGCATACATGCATGCATGTTTACATACATACATGCATACAAGATCTTTTAAATGGAAGCCCGGCCAGGTCCAAGACTGACCTGCGATGTGTCAGCCGAGAGCTGTCTTGGAGAGGGAAACTCCTGCAAAGTACCATTTAGGGATCTGGGTTTCGGGACTTTTACTTTTGGCTTTGTGCCAGTTTTCGGTGGCAAGGGCAGCGGTTTGGGGCTTAGCGCTGAACGGCGCACAGGGTTTTAGGGCTTTAGGGTTTTTGCAGGAAATCACAGCGGAAGGTCCAGGGCAAGGATCTCTGATATGGGTTAGGTACTGCCCCCTTACAGTAAGAGTCTATAAGGGCTATTATTAAGGAATCTATATTATGAACATTATTCAACTATTACTGAATGGGGTCCGTACCCAAGATATGGGGTTCAGAGCATTGGGCTTAAGGTTTAGGGCATCGCTGGTCTATGGTTTTTTCCCAGGTTTCAGGGTGGGTTTAGGTTCCTTGGTTTAGGTCTTGGGTATGAGAGTGCTTTAGGGCTTTTGGTTTGGAGTGTAAGCTTGGAATTAGTACATGTATAGGTCACAGTTCTTATGGTGTAAGTTAGAGTTTGAGACGGTTCGGCGTCATGAAGACAATGATCGAAATCATCACAGAGGGCTTTTGTTGGAACTTCGGCTTTCCTCTTCTGGAAGTTTGCCCGTCCGACACGGCCTCTGGCTTCCATGAACTTTAGCGGGTTATTGACTTGAGAGATCTGCCGTGCTTCATCGAATGGTGAAGCAAGCACAAGCGGCATGGATCCAACACATATCTTCCTGGACTAGAGGTGTCGGAGCCGCCCAAGCTCTCATCATGACAGGGTGTCGTTGCTGTTGCTGCTGTCGTTCTTATCTTGCTCCAACATCACTAAGGCCAGGATGTCCATTTTTGTAGGCTGGTTAGACCAGCGAGACAACGAAGCTTCCAAGCGAAGCTTTTTTCCCACCGCGTGGAGTCTTCCCTCAGGGGATGTCCTCGTGGCGCCTTAATGTCTCAGGCTGCGGGACCACCGAGTCGAAGCAGGATTGTCCTTTCCCTGAGGTCCCCGACGCCCCAAATTTCCGAAACCCGAAAATCCCCGAACCGAAAACCCGGACCATGCACCCCTCAACCATGAGCTCAAGAAATTTGAGCCCTGAAAGAAACAAACGCATTTCGTGCGTTGAACCTGTACCATATTTTGGTGTAATTTGGTGTATCCCGGTATAACACAGCATAATATACTGTAGCATAGTACAGACCATCGCAGCATGTTTGAGATTTTTATCGCATATTGTCGTACATTATAGTTTCTCCCTAAGCGTGGCTACTTGAAAAAGGACGGTCCTGGTCTGTAGGGCTTTAGGGTTCAGTGTGGCCAAACCGCGCAGGAGAGAAGTTGAGAAAATGTCACTGCCAACAGCGGCGGAAATAAAGATAATCGTTTACGGTTCATGGAGTTTTATCGATAGCAACAATGGCAGCAGTGGTAGAAGGTAGAAGTCGCAGTTATAGTTAACAACAGCAGTGTAACGCCAACAATCATAATCAACGCTTCTAGTTCTCGTTCCGTTTATGCTGCTACTTCGGTCTGCTTCTACTTCTACCTCTACCTGCACTTCTGCCTCTACTTTTGCTTGTATCTACTCCTACTACCCCTACTCCTTCTAAGTACCTACGACGTCGTACTACGTCGTACCACGTACCACCTACTATGTACTGCCTGCAACCTGCCCGCCGCAAGACATGTTTGTGTGTGTGTAGACATATATGCATGCAGGCACACAAGATATACATATCTATGCGCGCATATGAATGCACATATGTATATATATATATATATACACATATATATATATATCTATATATATATATATATCAACAAGAAATGAGAGGATCTTTGTCACTGAGAATGTATCCCAGCAGGCACTAGAAGGCTCCTGCATCACATGTGAGTGGCAGGAACTAAGAGATTCCAACGAGCCCTCAATAGCACATAAGAGCGGTCCATCCTATGCTCGAGAAACCATCAGGGCACACCAGACACCTATTTGATTTGTACCACTGTTAAACAAACGAGTTCCACTGTCTTAGTGCCTTTGACCATATCTGACGGTAGCAGTTGTCATGATCTAAGAGAAGATCGTCAACAGACTGGCTTCATATGTTGCACCCGGCATAATCCCCTCCCCATGATCTTCGAAGAACAAAGTACACACTATAAGATCTGACCTTACGAAGCCTTACAGCAAGGGCACTGGAAGTCGAAGTGCTGCCGGCTGAAGTGTACGAATTGCACATCGAAATTCCCACTCCCATCCTTCCAAGCTGCCGGTCGAGGGTTAAGGTTTGAGTGTTAAACAACGACGGCGAGGTAGTCTGCGGCTCGTTCGAGGAGATTTGCGAAAAGTTCACCATGCCCCAGGCGAGGCTTTGCCTGGGGGATCTCGGGACGGCTTAGGGTTTAGGGATTATTCGCGCCCTTTGAAACTTTGCAGGAAGAAGCGTTATCAAGTTTCTAAGTTTCGTAGATCATTCACAATCCCAACAAAAGTTTCAGGCTCGGATTTTCGGGTTTCGTGTGCAGAGGTTGAGAAATTTTGGGTTTTGTGTTTGCAGCAGCCCAGGCACTTGGCAAATTCCGAGTTAAGGTTGGTGAGAACAGGATGATGTACTACAGGGCAGGGGCCTGAATAATTACCATGGGGGCTCCTTACTGTAATTACAGTATAACGGGCTCCAAAACCCTATTCTAATGATTAAGGCCCCTATATTAGCAGGCTTTCGCTGCTTTTGACATCGCGCATGCAGCAGGAGCTAGTGCAAAATGTTCTTGTTCGATGTGGGCATGGTGCTCAGCTGGCTCATGCGGGCAAGAGTGGGGTGCAGCGTTGCTGGACTTCCGGATGCTGGGGGCGCTTTTCCAGCAGCTTTGGTTTTTTCTTGAAGCTTCCCGTACTAGCAGAGGTATGACCAGCCAACACCGGCCGCAAGCCCAGTGTTTTCAGCACAATCACAGATGGATTCAGCTCTCGATGAGTGCTTGTAATGCAACTTAAACTCAGCCCCCGAATGTATGTATGTATATATATATATATCCTCTGCCGAGACATGCCACGAGGCCCAGAAGCACGCTGTTCCAGCGGCGCTGTCGGGAAATGATGTTATGGTGACGCACATCAAGTTTATTTTTCTCCAGAAAAGGGTTTACAGTGCAGCTTGAGTACCATTATGTCCAAACAAAGCAGACTGGATTTTGAACAGAGAGACGGAGAGTGGCCAGGTTGCTGCTCAGACAGGCAGTGGCAAGACGGCAGCTTTTCTCATTCCCTTGATTGCCCGTCTCCCAGCGCACTGTCACACGGGGCTGCAGAGTGCTGCTGCTGGTGCTGCTGCCACCGAAACCTACCAACATCAGCACTACGACCAAGCCTAGATGTCGTTCAACAACAGCGCGTGTCTTTGTTGGAAGGCTGGCGTCAGGCCTGGATTTTGCATGCTCTTCAACTTGGATATTGCACGTCGAGTATCCACTAAGTACCGCAGTCGAAGTTATTCCCACTTCTTTCCGAAGATCAAGCTGTCTTTGCTCGAGATGATATCGCACGATGATGACTGTGCACTCGGTGGTGCTGCTGAACCTTCTTTGTAGCCTTACAGTCGTACTTGTCAACACGAGAATCGTCATGACGACGATGATGATAGTGATGTCGGCGATGATGATGATGATGATGATGATGATGCTGATGAGTTTGTGGCAACGACCGCGGCGATCATCATTGTAATGGGAAGCATTGCAACTGCGACGATGAGGACCAAAATGGCAATGGAGATAGCAATGACAAGAGTGATGGCAATGACGACAGCATCAGCGGCGACAACGCTTTCCAGATTCTGGTCATGGTGTCGCTGGTGCTGATTGTGGTGATGATGATGATGCTGAAGATTATGGTGGTGATGTGATGATGATGATGATGCTGATGACGATGAAGATGAAGAAGAACATGATGGTGCTGAAAAGGTGCTACCATGTGGCGGTAGTTGTGGTTCTTTCGTGTGCTTTCTGACTGTCTCGGGGGGAAATCGAGGCCGAGACTTTGATAGCTGGCGCGCACGAGTTGGAGGAAGGTCCAATTCGTCCCACAGCGTCAGCCACTCAGTTGTCACATGGGTTTGGGGTTTAATGTTTAAGGGTTTAGGGGTTTAGGGTTTAGGGGTTTCGGGGTTTAGGTTTTAGGGTTTTATCCACCCGCTCATCGAGCACCATGCTAGATGTGCAGGGTGGTCTTGGCTCCAACACGCGAGCTGTGCCAGCAGATCACGCTGGAAGCTCGCAAGCTTTGCTTTAGGACCCCGGTGGCTCGCCAGCATCTCCAGAGTGCACATATTTGGACCTGTCAGTCCTCTGCGCAGGACTCTTGCTCGAGCAGTTGCTATCTATGGAGGGGCAGATGCCTTGCCGCAGCTGAAGGCAGGGCAGTTCCTCTCTTCCTCTCTGCTCTCCGCATCTTCTCGTGGATGTCAGGCACTGGCAGAGGGCGCCGAGATAGTGATCTGCACCCCTGGGCGTCTCGAGGCCTCCTAAAGAAGACTTGAGGCGGTTTTGGAGAGTGTCCACATGCAGCCACCCTCTCCGAGGACTTTCTCGAGCGTGGTGTCATTAGCATGACCAACGCTGCATCCTAAGTTGGTGCATGTGTTTCAGGAAGGCATCGGAAAGCCGAAACAGGTGTGCACACAGTTTCTATAAGTCAGGTGCGGTATCTCGTCCTCGACGAGGCCCGTGAACACCTTCATCTTTGGGGTACAAGCGCTTGATGCACCAGCCTGAACCCCGCGTTGCCAGCTGGAAAGCCGTCAATGGAGGTTCGTACTTTGCCGCTGAACTGTTCTTGAACATCAACACAAGGAAGAGAATGTGAATACGCAGCCCTAAACCCTAAAGCCTAAACTCTAAACGGCCGTACCTGAGGACCTCAGAACTGCGAGACCGTCTTACCTAGTTTCGCTATCACTGTCTTATTAAATAGCTGTCTTTCAATCTACCTTTCTGTCTCATGCAGGTCCTCATACCAGGCTCTACCTACCAGCTATTCCGACTGTGGGCCCTCTAAAAAAACTCTAAACGGCAACAGTGCTGGTGCCGAGGTCAAAGCGCTTTGAGTACGGTGGATGCATTGATGATGAATGTCACGCTGATGATGCTGTTGTTGGTGATGATGATGAGGTGATGATGACGAGGTGACTAATTATGATGATGATGTTGATGAAGACACCAACGATGGTGGCATCAACCGGCAACATCATCAGCATCAGCAGCATCAGGGTCAGTATCACCATCAACTATTAAGCCGACACTCAACAACATCAGCAGCATCGCCATCACCATCATCGTCGATATCTTTGGGGAAAGGCAGGGAAAAAGTCGACGACGACGGGGATTGCCACTACTACCACCACTACCACTGCCACTGCGACCGCTACTACCACTACTGCTCCTTACTACTACTGCTGCTGCTGCTCCTACGACGACGACGACCTGTCTGTATCACCAGCATCGGCAGCATGACCGCCGTCTTACCTTGCCAGGCCGACCGGATGCTCGACATGGGCTTCGAGCCGCAGATCCGCTCCATCATAGAAGGACGGGTTGGTTTGCAGAGGGCGGGATTCGTCGGGTGTCTGCCTTGGGTTTGGGAGGTCGTGGCCACGAATCCCTCAGCCTAGCTTAAACCCGAACTTCGCAGTCAAAGCCTAAGTCTCAAACCTTCAGCCCCTGCACTTCCTTCGTACCCTACACCCTAAACCAAACTTCCGTCGTCGGTCGCCAGGCCACAGTATGCCTGAGTCTGGGCCCAGTTCTCAGTCTTCTGGCTCTTTCTGGGCTTGGGTGCTGTGCCAGGGCTGCCCAGGAGTCGGGTTTCCACCCTAGGATTTCGAAGCATTATACTATATATACTATATAGTATACAATGTAATGAGTACAGTATTTAGTATGTATGTATATATATATATATATATATATTATACACATAACTACATAAATATGTGTATAATATATATATATATATATATATGTATATATATATATATATATATATGTAGAGAGAGTGATAGGAAAAGCCCCATGATTCACGTTCCGATGTGTTTCACCTAACCCCTTAAACCCTACGCCCTAGACCCTAAACCAACCCCCGACTCCGTTTTGTCACACACACACACACACACGAAGAGCCAAAACACTTCTGAGATGTCCCGAGGGGCGAGGAAGGCAGACAAACCATGATGTTCTCGGCGACCTTCCCAAGGGAGATGCAGGCAGGTCAGTCATGTCAGAAGTTCGTGCAGATGGAAATTGAGTTTGTTTCTTGAGGCGGGACGTTACATTCTGTCAGAATTCTTTAGCATGGTAGAGGGGCTTAGCAATTTTATACCCATTTTCCTTTGAGGCCAGGGATCTTGAACTCTCTTTGCCAATGCAGCCTCGGGACCAGTACGTCAACTTCAGGGGCTTGGCATTAAACATCTGCAAGAGCTCAGAGTTTTTTGTAGATGCTATAGTATACCTCGAAACCCCTTCCTACGTATGATGGCCCCTGTGTTCTAGAACCCTGATTGAGCCGCTTAAGGGAACCCTGTGCTAATCATTAAGTCCCCTAATATAGAGCCTCAATAATTACCTATACTAATTTCGGGGGTTCCTCAAAACCCTACTCTACTGATTACGGCCCACTATATCACAGTGGCCTTTAGTAACCCGTATAGGACCCCTTTAAGCGAACCCTATGCTAATTATTAAGGCCCCTACTTGGAGGTGCATGGGTAGTTATAAGTGGAGTTCTAAGTAAGGTAACTATACTTATCACCATTTTCAGAGGACTTCTCACCCGACCTATAACTGCCCATGAACTTCCAAGTATGTTATACTCTGCAACCAGGACCTGGCCCTGGACTTCCTGGATCCAACATACCTGTGGGCCTCTCATCGGTTTAGGGTTTTGGAAACGGGTTGAGGTGTTTTACGTTTGGGTGTTTCAGATTTTGGGGCTCACGGTTTAGGGCTGGGCTGTCAGGTTTTAGGGGTTTCAGATTCAGGGTTTAGGCTTCAGGGCTTTCAGGTTAGGGCTTTAGTTAGAGGCGTCCGCCGTCCGCTGAGGTTTCAGTTTTGGGGGTTTCAGGTTCAGGGTTTAGGATCACAGGGCTTAGCCGAGCATCTTCCCAATCACGAAACGATGCCCCTGACGCCTTGGCCCAGGTGGATCGGTGTTGGGAAAGTGGGAGAAGCATGCGAGAATGTGGCCGGAATCTCGGCCCAGTTGTACAGATCCCCGTTGCTTGTTTTTGTCTCATCAACGACAGATACGTATACACATGTAGAGTTTTATGCAAATGAATTATATGCATACTTTCTTTTATACATATGTGAAAACACATATATGTATATGTATGTGATTTAGAGTTTAGGGGTTTAGGGTTTAGTAAAATATAGGGTTCATCTATGTCTGCATGAACATCTACATGTACATATATGTCTATATTTGTATCCATATCCATATCTGCATCTATATCTACAGTTATGCCAGTTCATACCTATCTATCTGTATCTGCATGTGTGTATGTATATTGTATATATGTATATGCACATATGTATGTATACGTATAGATATGCGTGTGCATTCATACAACTCACACACATACACATACAAATCAGTATGCACACATATACCCGTATAGTATCTTAGTATATGCACGTGATATACACGTGATGTAGATTTCTGTATCTTACGTATAAATAAATAAATGAATAAATAAATAAGTATATATATATACATATAGATGTACATAAATAAATATATATATATATATATATATATATATAGATAGATCTAGACAGATACAAACATCTATATACATGTGTATATATATATATATATATATATCTCTTTCAGTGGCAGTGGCCGGCGTTTCCTATGACCCAATAATTGCTCTTGCTACGAAGGTTCAGCGCTTCCAGGACGCGAGCACCACCGCTGGGCTCTCGGCAGGTTGACTTGGAGTCGAGAGGAGAATCTGGCTTTTTTTGTTTAGGGTTTAGGGTTTAGGTTTTAGGGTTTAGGGTTTAGGTTTTAGGGTTTAGGGGAATCTGACATTTGTTTTGACTTGACTGTCTGGTTCTTAGTAGGGAATGGGGGAATGGGTTATTGGGACTACTATTGGGGATTATCATACAGGGACTACTCTAAGGATCCATTCCCCCATTCCCTACCAAGCACCAGACAGTTGAGGGGGGGGGGGAATACCTCCCGTTTCAGGGTCCGTGATGAGCAGATGCTCAGGTCTCTTGTTTCTGGCTCTGGCATCTAAGGACTTGGACGGCAAGTTCGAGATGTTGGTCGAGGCTGTCAAGGAGGCAGGAACCACGCTGCAAGACTGGGACAGCTATGGGGGCCGATTGGAGGAAGCGGCAGTAGACACTCGGAGACTGAAAGAGCTTCGGGACGCTGCCACTTAACACACGGGGCCAAGGAGCCTCTGACACAACTGCGTGCACGCGTGTCAACACTTCCTAAACAACTTTATGGTCAGAAAAGTAAAGTTCAGGGCAATGTATGTTGTTGACTTTGCTCGGACGACTGGTGGCAACCCAGTCCAGACATGTCTCCCACATGAAGACGGTCAATAATTTTAGTGGCAGGTGGAGGTTGTGGTATACTAAGAGCAGGTCCTGAAAAGTAAGCAACTTGTTTGGGACTCCTTCTACCCTCAGCCCGAAACCCCTTTTTGATTCCTTCTTTGGAAGATTCTCCAGGTGGAGGTCAAGAGCGACGGCGACGACAAGTATGCGAAGACGCTGGTCTTCGCAAACTCCAAGTCGTCGCCTCAGGTGCCCGGTAACCGGTAAGAGCGAGCTTACCCGCGATATACGTGCCCAAAAAATTGCCAATACTTTTTTTGGGAGTTCCTGATTGAAATTTTACGAGAAAGGAGCCCGCAACCAAATTCTAATCATTCAGGCCCCTACATTGTACTACCCTTATAGATCCCTTATAGTAGCCCCTATAGTAGCCTCAGAGCCCTTGGGAGCCTGACGCTGGGAGCCCTGAATTAGGATTTAGGTAATGCTCCTTGATTTTGGAATAGAGACCAGATTAAATTAGGGGTTTAGGGTTTAGGGCTCCTGTTACGGATTCTACGGGGTTAAATATCCTGTAAGGTATGTAGCGTAAACCTCCCAAGGACCACTGTCGATGCGGTTTGTTGGAGACTCTCCGATGCCCGGGTGCGGAGCATGCAGATCCACGGTGGCCTCTCCCAGGTCGCCCGGGTGCAGGGTTTTGGGTTTAGGGTTTGGGGTTTAGGGTTTAGGGTTTGGGGTTTAGGGTTTTATACTTGTTTGGGCTTTGCATTAATTTGGGAATCAAGTTGGTTTAGGCTTTATACTAGTGGTCTGCTCAGTTTGGTTTCGGGTGAGTTTTTTTCCCCAGGCCCAGGCCTTCTGCTTCGTCTTTCCAGGGCTTCTTTTGGTTCGTTCTTGCTCTGGCTCAGCTCCCCACTTCGAAACGTACGGTTGACGATTTAAATCCTGCACTACCTTAACGAACCTAGGTTATGGGAATTGTGGTATACTCCTCATTATGGGTTTTGCAGCATTTGTATCATCAACCGTATAGGGTATCTTGCGGACGGCAGAAAGAAGTGTTTCTTTCCTCTCTACCCTGGCGTGGCCCACATCATTCGCAGTCGTCCGATCAGTCAGTCGAAATTTCCTGCAGAGTCAGCGAAGTAACTGTCTGGTTGGGGGCATGGATCCCCATAGTAGTCGTTCAGGGTTTAGGGTTTAGGGGATCCCTGTAGCAATCCCTAATCCCCAACAGTGGTCTCCATAACCCATTCCCCCGTTCCCTACCAAGCACCAGACAGAGTAAGATTCACGGACTCCGCCTAGGACCTAGGATTCAGGAGAACCAATGCTCTAAGCTGAATTGATGGGATTTTGACCCAGCTTGCATGAAGGCCGCCCGGGATCGTGCACTGGCCGATTTCCGCAACGGCCGGGTCAATGTCGGAGTCTTAGAGACAGGTTTGGGGTTTCGGGTTTCGGGCCCGCGGTTTAAGTTGTAGGTTTCAGCCGCTTCAGTTTGGAACAACGAGTGGTCAGCCGTCTTGTCCTCTCACATAATTGCCAATACCATTTTGAGGTTTCTTATGAAAAGCCTAGCACAGTTTACCCAAACACTATTCTAATGAACATGAGGTACTCGTCGCCACGGACGTCGCAGCACGGGGTCTCGACCTCCCAGGCAGGACTTTTGTGAACCGCCCAAGCACAGACTCTGCGGCAATAGGGCTTAAGGTTTAAAACACATCCCCATAGCGTCATATCCCACCCCTTTTGTAAGGTATCTTCTTGTTCATTCAGAGAACCATAACACTAGATACCCTAAAACAGGAGAGGGGTATGACTGGTATGACCCTCTCGGTATGCAGG